ATATATATTTTTTTTTTATTTAAACTGTGCAATAATACTTTAAGAAAAAGAAAGGGCTTTTAAATACTGGCTTCCCACACTCAGTTTTACAAATTGGCTCCCTGTGTGCATTTTCTGATACATTGTGATACATCACAATGGAAATATCCTTTTTTTAGCATTTCTACGCGGTCATGTGACCATACAGCTCCGGCTCTATCCTCTTCCTGTGCGGCTGGTGGATGTGAACTCTGTCCAGGCCACCTGAGACCAATAAATGCCAACGAGTGACGTCCAAGACCTATGGGATTCAGTGGCCCTGTCGGCCCTCCATAGACACAAGAAACCAGCTAGAGCTTCTATATAAAGACTTTTAAAAAGGTATTTACATTGCAAGTTAATAGAAAATGAATGCAGGGCAAGAGGCAACATTTAAAAGTTGGATTATTGTGCAGTCCTTCCTTCTATTTTGAACACTGCATTTATTACAATTACAGTACACAATTTTTGAAATAATAATACAATTATAATATTAAAATGCTGCCTTAACTGCCCACTTCAGTGATCGGGCTCCTCTGCGGCCACCTGCAGCTTCCTCCGCCCACTACAGCTGCTATGGGCTGGGAGGGAGACTGCAACACCACCATTGGCCGGCTGTATAGTTTAGGAGAACGGGTCCTGAAGGGGGGGCACAAGGACGCTCCACCTCAGAATATGGAGGCAACATCGTTGCTCCCCCCTGCTCTGTATTACACCGCTGACCTCTGCACCTTGGCAATTTACATTTTCAAATTGATTCAGCTGCCTTAGGTCTTGCACAGCAGCCTTCTGGGGAACCATGTGTCCCCTGCTTACAGCACTTCTGCCGCCCACACCTCTCCCCTCCTGAGACCCTCTGCCCGAGACTTCAGGCCGGCACCCCGGAGCAGAGCGGCAGCAGAGAGTATGTGCCAAATTCATATACTATTATTCTGCATTACTCTATAATGTATTGCTAGGATTTGTAGTCCTCTATAGCGTATGGTATTCTGCATTAGAGTGTAACCTCCTCTGTACAGAGACTGATGTGCCTAGCTCAGTGTTCTCTGTACAGCACTGCAGTATATGTCAGAGATATATAATTGTATAACAATAATAGGGTCTGACTGGGGTGCGGGGGGACATTAGTCCTTTATTGCAGAAACCGCTGGGGGCCTTGGGGGCCAGTGAGATCTGGTCCTGCCCAAGGCCCCCTCCCCACCCCCAGTTGCAGGAAAGGCGGGCCCTAAGAAAAAAATCTTGCACCAGGGTCCTTAGGTCCGCCACTGCCCGGGACCCCATTTTTGTCCACCAGTTTCTACAGCAATCAGTGCAGAAGCTGCCATAAAGCCTGATTGAATATACGGGTGGTGTGATAATACGGCAGGATGAGGTCCATCACATTCTCGTACATGGTCTGTACTTAGTCTTAGTGGATTGGACACATTGTTCTTAGTCTTGTAGATATTTGATGAAGAAAAGTGCATTTTCCATTAAAGCCTTCCTGTCAGGGGTTGATGCGGATAATTTTGTATCCATGTGGTTAGGTTCCCCCTTACCAGCCTCCATAGCCATGTCCCATAGACAAGCACCCCCATATCTACCATATCTTGGTAATGACTATACTCCCCCTCCAGATGGGATAAATAAAGACATTTCTGTACATTGAAAGCAATAATTAGTTTTTTTTAAACACGGGCAGCAGCTGCAGTTTAGTGTGGCGCAGCGTGAAGCCGGCCAATGCTGTGCGTGAGTAACGCATACAAAACACATCCTGGAATCTTCTCCTCCGATACTTTTGTTTCAAAGTAATAATTAGCAGATTTGATGTGACATTGTCTTATGTCAGACGTGTATACTTGTTATATACTTGTTATATTGACGCACTCTGCGGTGTTACATAACATAATATGTCGGCATTTTGCTGGCGGCGCAGGATCAGGATTTAGTGATTTAAGGAGGCTCTTGTACAGCGACGCTAATCCAGCAAAAGGAATCCTGGAAAATATTGAAATATGGGAATTGCGGGTCTCCAGCCTGACAGATACAAGTTTCCCAGACAAGTTGTCAACTTAGAAAAGTCCTCTGTAATCCTCATATGGCATCTGTGAAAACCCTGATGAAGAGCGGAGGTGGGGGAAATGCTGCGAGCAACCAACCATACTGAATGCTTAGGTTGTTTTTTCTTCAAATAAGAATTGAAATAACAGAATCCAACAGCAGCACAGAAAGAACAGGATTGGCTGCACAGACATCTCAAATCTCTAGCATATGCATAAACTGCATTCTCAGTGATGTCACCGGTCTCTAGTGAATGGATAGGCTGCATTCTCAGTGATGTCACCGGTCTCTAGTGAATGGATAGGCTGCATTAGTGATGTCACCGGTCTCTAGTGAATGGATAGGCTGCATTCCCAGTGATCTCACTACTATCTAGTAAATGCACACCAACAATTCCACCATGCGATTGAGTGGCAATCTTCTATCTCGGTGTACTGTGCAGGTACCATTTAGCCAAGAGTTGTTGGAGTAAGAGACAACTCACGTGGCTGGAATTGTTCACCTCAGTTGTCAGGGGCCTCAGTTGTTAGGGTAGCCAAACTCCGGCCCTCCAGCTGTGGTGGAACTACAAATTCCATGAGGCATTACAAGATTCTCACAGCCATGGACATGGCCCCCAGAGAGAGATGCATCATGGGATTTGTAGTTTCACCACAGCTGGAGGGCCGGAGTTTGGCTACCCCTGTTCTAGATGCAAGCATTCGTGTCTATACATTGATTTCTATGAAGAGCCATGGTTCAGTGGTTGTATTTTCTGACCCCTATGGGTATCTTTACTCGGATACATTTCTATCCACACTTTTACTCATAGTCTTCAAGCGTAAAGATATGGCTTCCCGATGAGAACACATTATAACCAGAACTTAAATTAAGAATATGTTAACATAGAACTCTGTCCAATACGGTTTTTGTTGGAATGAGGAAAGGTCCTAACCCATAATGAGTTTTCTTATTGCTGACTGTGTCCACACTAAGGAGGTTAACCTTCATTTTCTTCTGTCCCCGTGCCCAAAAAGGAGGCGAGGATAATGTCCCCAATGGGATAGAGGAAGCAAAAATAAATAAATAATTTAAAAAAAGAAAAAGCTTGAAAGGGCTCAAACTTGCAAAAGTAAAATAAAATAAAAACATGCTCTGACTGGCGTTCTCTTTTTCTGGGAAACATAATGCTATATTGTTACCAGTCACTAATGGCTCCATCATTAGTAATGTGTCTCAGAGACCACTTTCTCATCAAACAGTAAAAACATGAAAGGGAACGTACTGCAAATAAGGTATACACAAGGGTGTACATATCTGTGCTCTGCAGAGAAATATCTGATCAGTAAGTTCAGGATTTCATTAGATTTGTGGGTTTTATACTATTCATGATGTGGGAAATGAATGAGGAGGTCTTGTGTGTCATGTATGGAGGTCTTCTGTGTCATGTATGGATCTATGGCCTGGTGACCTTTGTTCTTCATTTACCATTTTATGGAGGTGGATACATATCAGCCAAGCGTATGCAAAGTCAGAATGCTCGGACACTCACCCGCCTTTAAACCATGGTGGTTTGGATGGGTCTCCATCGTCCTGGGTCTGAAGATTAAAAATAATATAGGTTAATATTTGGAAAATAAGCAACGAGAACATTTAAATGACATAAGACGCATAAGCACTTGTCACACTTTCCGCAACATACAATACACACAACATATACACTATATTACCAAAAGTATTGGGATGCCGGCCTTTACACGCACATGAACTTTAATGGCATCCCAGTCTTAGTCTATAGGGTTCAGTATTGGGTTGGCTCCGCCCTTTGCCGCTATAACAGCTTCAACTCTTCTGGGAAGGCGTCCACAAGGTTTAGGAGTGTGTCTATGGGAATGTTGGACCATTTGTGAGGTCAGGTACTGATGTTGGAGGAGAAGGCCGGGCTCGCAGTCTCCGCTCTAATTCATCCCAAAGGTGTTCTATGGGGTTGAGGTCAGGACTCTGAGCAGGTCAGTCAAGTTCCTCCACCCCAAACTCCCCCATCCATGTCTTTATGGACCTTGCTTTGTGCACTGGTGGGCAGTCATGTTGGAACAGGAAGGGGCCGTCCCCAAACTCCTCCCACAAATTTAGGAGCATGAAATTGTCCAAAACGTCTTGGTGTGCTGATGCCTTAAGACTTCCCTTGACTGGAACTAAGGGGCCAAGCCCAACCCCTGAGGGCAAGTACCGTTCTCCTGGCAACTGCCAAGCCCAGACGTGTCCATCGGATTGCCAGACAGAGAAGCGTGATTGGTCACTCCAGAGAACATGTCTCCACCTCTCTAGAGTCCAGTGGCGGCGCGCTTTGCACCACGGCATCCCATGCTTTGCATTGCACTTGGTGATGTAAGGCTTGGATGCAGCTGCTCGGCCATGGAAACCCATTCCATGAAGCTCTCTACGCACTGCTGTTGTCCCAATCTGAAGGCCGCATGAAGTTTGGAGGTCTGTAGCTATCGACTCTGCAGACAGTTGGCGACTTCCGTGCACTGTGCGCTTCAGCATGCGCTGAGCCCGCTCTGTCATTTTACGTGGCCTGCCACTTCGTGGCTGAGTTGCTGTTGTTCCCGGTTGCTTCCATTTTGTTATAATACCAGTAACAGGTGACCGCGGAATATTTAGTAGCAAAGAAATTTCACGGAACACCTGAATCCAATGATTTGGAGGGGGAGGGGCCCAATACTTTTGGCAATATAGTGTATATATAGTGCATATGTTGTCCAGTCTTCAGTACACACATCACATATACTCATCCTTCCATTTACAGTATACACAACAAACCAAGTACACAAGCTCCGGTTTCCAGTATACTCATCACAAATACCCACTTCCGGTTCTTGGTATACATGTCACGTACACATCTGGGGACAGTACGTGAGTAAGAGGACCAAACCAATTCTAGAGTCTGAAAGCTATTGTATCATCATGGAAATACAAGGTAACCAAAGCATTTTAGGGACTTAATACTTCCGTCATCAGGGCTTAGTCTTCGCTGCTAAAGCCTTTCTAGTAGATAACAAAGTCCTTTCTCCGCACCTAATCCAATGTTGGAAGCCCTGATGAAGGGGGTTTTAGCCCCCCCAAAACACATCGGACTGTGACCTTGGATTTCCATGATATGTTCAGACCCTAGAATTTGGTGTGCTACTCTTATTCACTTACTTACCTGGATTTTATTGGAGGTGCCCCAATAGGCTGCCTTTGGTCTGAAAGCAGACCAATTACAGCCATTCAGGAAGTCTTACTCTCTAAACCATAAGATATAACCCTACATTCAACACCTCTCATCCACACTTCTTCCCATAGCTCTTGACCCGTTTCATTACTACAGCTCACAAATACCCGTACTTTACATTAATACATGACAGACACCTATAATCCCTATGTACAAGCCACATATAGACCCTTGCATTTCCAGTATGCATGCCACACATGTACTCTCTAGCCTTCAGTCCACACATAACATACAGCTACTTGCGAAGTAGACATTCACACATTCTTCTAATTGATTGTGCTATGCACACAGCTCATACTGATACCACTCGCTAGTATTTGCACTGCACTGAAGAGTCTAGATTGAACACTCTATTCCCCTAATCTACTAACAGCCTTTATTATCAATTCACTAACCTAGGCTATATTCCACTACCATAAGCAAACTGCAATATCTGGTATTGAACAGGTTCTGTCTGTCTACATTGAAAAGACTCTTTGCCAGCATGCAACAAGCGGTACATATCTACAATAAGAAGTCTTCATTTCTCTACACTGGACAGATTCCATTTCTTGGCATTTGGAAGCTCAACACCCTCCATGTACTGCAGAGCCTCTATTCCACTGCACAAAACAGAATCTATTCCTCTACACTGGACAGACCGCAATACCTCAAAATTAACTGGTTTTGTCTGCAATGAACAGGCTCTGTCTGAATCCGCCTGCATAAAAAAAGGCAGTACTTGTCTACAATGGAAAGGCTCCGTTCCCCTGTCCCAAACATGCTTGGTTCCCCTGTCTCAAACATGCTTGGTTCCCCTGCCCCAAAGAGGCTCCGTTCCCCTGCCCCAAAGAGGCTCCGTCCCCCTGCCCCAAAGAGGCTCCGTCCCCCTGCCCCAAACAGGCTCTGGTCCCCCTGCCCCAAACAGGCCCTGTTCCCCTGCCTCAAACAGGCTCATTTCCCCAGCTCAGAGCAGTGTCTGTTCCTTTGCCCTGGACAGGCTCTGTCCCCGCAACCTGAATAGACTTAATTCCCCACATCATTTAAAGTGCTATTTTAGCCTCCACTGTACAGCCTCTATTTTCACAGCACCTCATATGTTCTGTTTCTTCAGCAGTAAACATGCTCTGTGTATCTACTGTACACTTAACATATCTTGCCTTTATTATGAGCATGCATCTTGTCAATGTTAAATAATAACCACAAGCATGACAGGAGAGCACACAAGTACCAGCATAGGGGATGGGGACAGGTATAAAACATAAATAACCTGAAATTCAGCTCTATTCCCCTCTGTGGAAGAAAAAGAGGGAGAGAAGATTAGTTGAGATTCTGTCCTTTTCCCAGCTCGGCTCTACGACTTCCCAGGACAAATGAACAGGAGATGTGAGGAGGTAATGTTACCCCGAAACCCCACCCAAGACTAAAAGAGACAAATGGAGAGACAAACAAGACGGATCAAGGCTGATGGTGTATGTGTTCAGCAAGCCGGATAAGCTTCCCTCTGAGGTGTTTGATTAAAAAAAGTAAAATAATCTGTAAAGTGTAAATTACTTGTTGCCCATAACATCCAATCATCCCAACCTGGGGCGGATGATGATTGAGCTATAGATCTACTTATCACATTCAACACACAAGATGGCACCCATTACTACATAAATGTCATAAGGGGTCAAGAACCAGAAGTTAGCAGCTGCTGTCTTCTATACACAATTAAAGGTCTCATGTATTAGTGTCTGAGAGAAGATCTTCTCTACCACCATCAATACTTGTAGAACCCCAATTATCACACAGCTATAGGGCTACGTTTCAGGTGCTAGTGTGTTGCCCTTCTTGAACAAGGCTTTCAAATCTATTGAATGGCCCTTTAAATCAAACCCTCCTTTTCATTTTACCTATGCTTTAAGGAAGGGGGAGGAATGAGCAACAAGAGGGGAAGGACAGGAGGAGAAAGGTAGAAGAGTTTAATGGGAGGCGTAAAGGAGTTGCAGAAGAGCCAAAAGAGGGTAAGTGGAGAAAAGGAAAAGGCCAAGGAAGGTGGCCTGCATGGACATGGCCAAGGCTTTCAGTTCCATTGACTGGCCCTTTTTAAATATCAAAAGGAGAAAAAAACAAAGGCAGAGGGAAGCCAGAAGAGGATAATAGCAGTTTTGGAAGAAATAGAGGGAAGGAGGAAAGGGAAGCCAAGGGAAATGGAGGAGGGTAAAGGATGAAAACGATAGGCAAAGGAGTCGGACAGGGTAAGGGAAGAACGAAGGGAAAGGCAGAGAAGCCAGAAAAGACAGACGCTATAAGAAAAGGGAAGCCAAAAGAACGAGAAAATGGGAGGAAGAAAGGGAAGGCAGAAAAGACAGAAGAGGGGAGGAGGAAAGCAAAAGGTAGAGGGAGGGAGTAGGAAAAGGGAGAACGGAGGAAGAAAGGTCGGGGAAGAGCTAGAAGAGGAATAGGGAGACACAAAACAGAAAGATGGATATGTAGAAAGAGGACGAGATAACCGGAAAGGGAAATGCACGTGAACAAAGAAATGAGGAAAGAAAACTAGAGAAGGGAGGAAGAACGGTGGAGCTGACTGGTTGCTTAATACTAATAATTTCTTGCCAGCAGGATGTCAGTAAGAAGACATTTGTGTCTTTGAAGTTTTGTGTATACACGCATCATTCCCTCATCGAGTATTGTATCCAACCTGACAACCAAAACCTAACATGTTTTCAGAACTTGACTTATAGAAAGTCAGCAAAGCAAGCTTCCTCTAATGGCAGGTTTGCTACATTTTCATCTATCAGGGCATCATGGGGATAAGGGATGTATGGAAGAGACGGCGCCAATAAAAACCCTAAAATAAAAAAAGCCCAAGCTGCCCCCAACTATTAACCCTAAGCAGCGTCCGGGAAATAATACAAACTAGAATCTCACAACCTTAAATATCCAACAGCTGGTGAATAACCGGCAACTATGGACAACACATCTTCCTTCGGTTCCTCTACAGCAGGACCATCATTGTCCATGCATTCTGCCTGTGCACAGCACCTACATAATAATGAATTAAAATGCACTGGTGTCCTTGTTATGGATAACGTGTAAGCTTGTTAGAGAACACTGACAAGGGTGGAGAGTACGCTGCGAAGTCCATGAATATTCATTACGCCGGGGCCTTAACGTTCTCCTACAGAAGATTCTACAGCCTATGAAGGTATAAATATGCTATTGCTATACCAGGAAAGGAAGACTTCCAATTATAACATGCTGTGACTCAGCCAAAATACAAATCACACCAAAAGTTTCCTTATTTATGTATTTTAAAGCTGAACCCCAGGCAGATATAAAAGACACAAATTAATGCAGT